GGGACTTGTTGTTAAAAGGGACTCACTGGTTGTAACAACAAATACCGTGCCTAGGCCAACAAATGAAAGATATCCATAGAAAGAAAATGAGGCGAAATTCAGCACCGAGCTGACGCTTCTCCTGACATTTCAGTTGCGTGTGACTATTTTATTTTCCTGAACTCCGAGCTTTAGAATCCCATTCGAGTCTTCATGTAATCCCAAAACCTTTTATTCTATAAGCCGACTGCCAGCCTCCTCAGGCGACAAATATGTCTCGAATACTTCCGAATAATTCGTCTTCCACTCTCCCAATGAAACCCATTTTTATTTTTCTCTCGCCATCGTCGATAATAATTGTTGCTTTTTTTATTTATTATTTTGTTTAGTGCATTTTTCTGCTTTTTATTGGGTTTTGACTTTGCTAGATTTTGTTTCGCAAATATATTTAAATTTTTTCGTCGCTTTCTTCTCTTCGTTGTCCACTTTGTTATTATTAATTGGTTTAATTACCAAAGTGTGACGATAAAAAAGACGACACCCCCCATAACTTTACAACAATATTTATTTTAAAACCGAATTCCCCTCCCCCCTCCCCCCCCCCCCCCCCCCCCCCCCCCATATAAAAGTAAAAAATTCGGTGAAAAGTCTTAAAATGTTTTCTAGCAACAAAGTAGCCTCTAGGGAAACTAAAAAGACCAAGGCCGCGAAATAACAATGGTGTCGGCTCGTATTAGTGAGAGTAATAGCCGCGGCCGCCTCATGTCGGTATTACTGAAATATTTATTTGACCCATATTAGCATCTGATTATTTGTGTCTGGAGGGTGGGTGAGGAAGCATGGGAGGAAGAGATTTTTACGGAATCTGCCCGACAATTATTCCTAACCTCCTTCAAGTTCCCCAAAACCTTTTAAAATGTAGTTGCTTTTTATTATTAACCCACTTGCAAAAGTCGTTGTAAAACCCTTTGTACTGCCTTCGAAACTTCGAAGTCGTCGCGATGTTGCATGGTCTCATCGTATTAAAATACTTCCTCCTATGGGTGGGTGGTCACGATGTTGATTATAGCCTCGGGATTATGATCATTATCGCCTACAAGAGATCTGAGAGATTGAGGGTTCTACGCAATTTTAGCTGTTTTTAGTAGTGCGCTCTTCCAGAGAGAGATCTGTGGTATTGTTCCTATCTCCTCACGCCATTTTTTAAGTTTAGTTCAGTTCCAAGCTCCAGTTGTCTCTGGGGTTATTTTGGCCTTTCCGCATCACTTTTTTTACTGCCTTTTTAATTCCGTGGTTCTTATATCTTGTAATGTTTCTGTTACTTGATGCTGCTACCTATATCACCAGTGTTGATTTTTATCTTCTACTATAGTATCTGGTCAATTGGGCAGTCTTTGTTTGTCTCTGTGAATGGAAAAGTCCCGCACTACCGTCCTCTTATTATTCACGATTTCCTGAGAAATCTACCAACTAGTCTTGTGGGAGGAGAAGAGAGCGGGGAGCATGCAAGCCAAATATTGAGCAGATATTCCTGTAGATGATAGCATTTGCAGCTGTTTGTACTTTTATTACACTATAGGACTGTTCCTGGAGTGCGTTTTCGCACTATCTTCACCTAAGGTCCTGTATGGTGTGGTAGTTCCCTGCTTCAGTCGATCTGGCGCTTAGTATCTATGTTGCTATGATTAGCGTCTCAATATTATTTTTTAGTACAGTTTCCTTTAGCTATTGTTAGGATTTCTTAATTTCAGCTTCCTTACCTATCTGTCGATGGTACAAAGTGGAGGACCTTTCTTTGCTATGAGGTTAATTTTTTTCTAGTGTCTGTTGATGCTTCAAGCATTCTTTCGGCCTTTGGTGCCATCTTATTGATATATGCCTGAATGCTCTGAGCGTCGTTCAAGATAGGATAATAGCATTTATAATCACTAAGCTCCATCTTCTTTCTGGCCGATAAGGTTTCCCAAACAGTTGTGAAGCAGTGCCGTAATTGTGCTATCATTTTTTAGTAATGTTGTATTTCGTGAGGTATATTTCTAAACCCCATTGTACTACTTTCGATCCCTTAGACCTGGTTGTTGCTTCTTAACACCATTCACTGTCATTTTGTTGCTTTGATGTCCTATCATTTTTCGTAATTTTCCACTGACAGTAGCAAATTATATAATTAAAAGTGTGAATTGCAAACAATGGTGTGACTGAGAGTATCGGAAGAACATAGCAATGTGCGATTTGTTCGATATAAAAAGTATAAATACATAAAATTTCGAAGGAATCTTAAGGCGGTATATATTATTTTTATTCTTTTATTTTTATTTTAATTTATTCTTTTAAAGGAAAGGCGTTCATTAAGAACTTTTAAATATTTTAGAAAGATGGTAATTCGATTGCAAATAAATTCTATGAGATATATTTCGTTAATTAAACAAAATTTATGGAAAAATTATTGTACTGGTATTAATCATGCCGAAGAAATGCGAAAGGTTTTTCTCTTTTTCATGTATTAATTATTAAAATTTTAATTAAAGCATTACCTATTTTTATTTTTCAAGTAAATTCTATCTTTTTGATAAATTTATCGCTAAAAAACAAATTGATGCATAATTTTCAGTTTGTCGCACCTCTGTTAAATTTAAAATTGTTTTAATCTTTTGTGAAAAGTTTTTAAAAAAGATATTTTGCAGACAAGTTCCATTTAAACGCACATTTCATTATTTTTTATGATCTAAAAATATAAGATTTTTATACGAATATAAGATACAAAAGATTTTTATGCCAAAAAAAATTATAAGAAAAATTAATATAAAAAGTGGATTACGAAGTATTCATTTAAGTTTATTTTTATGAGAAATTATTTCATCTGTGTTTGGTGATTTTATTTTAATTTTGGTTGCTAAAAAATTGGTTGTTTTTCCTAAGTTTTTGTTTTAGAGTCACTCACTGACCATTTTTAAAAATAATTTCACTAAATCTTTTTGATATTAAATTAATTTTGCTGTTTAAATTTGCTATATATTTCTTGCTAATTATTACGTTAACTAATTTTTTAGGTTGGCTTAAAAAATAAATTGGACACGAAACTATATAAATGCAATGATTATCATAATTTCAATCCGTGGTCATTCTATGATAAAGAAGTAGATTTATTTGTAATAAACTGATTCTTTTCGTTTATTTGAACAGGATGTATAAAAATGTATAAAATATATAAAGATTTATAAAAATCATGTATTTTTTGCTGCTATTTCCTTTCTTTCCCTTTTTTGTTTTCTCCATTGTGAATGACTTATAATTAATGATTTTATAAATAATATAATTTTATAATACAATCAGTCTTCTTTCATCTCTATATTCTTTTCAATGTCAGTAATTTTCTGCAAAAAAGGAAGTTATTATTCTCTAAATATCCGAAAAACACCATAATTCCTTTGTTATTTTTATATTTTTACGAAGAGATTTCATAGAAGCACTAATATTATGAACAGCACTTATAGTTATCATAGAAGGAATCTTAAAGCTATATATTATTTTTATTTTATTTTATTTTAACCATTGTTCTATAGGCATTAAATTTTTTTGGAACATTTTGCCTAGAGTAATTAGGTTTGCATTTGTACTAATATATTGTTACTAATATATTGTTTCTAATAGCTTTTATGCTATCAGTGAGCCCAATAATAACTAACTTTTGTTTATTCCAGCAAAATTTTTTCTTTGGAAGACTATTTTCGCCTTATCGATTTATTTATTATAGGTCGAACTTTGCAAAAATCGAGTGACCCAGCCATCAAATTCAAAACCTGATAAGATGCCAGCAATAACGAAGAAATGATTTTGTTTACCGTTGGAAAGAAATTCTTTTATAGTCATTTGGACCATGTGGCATTCACTGTAGATTTTATAATGAATAGAATTTATATTTTTCTAGAATTTGGTTTGATGATTTCTTTATTTTGGTATACGTTTCTTTGGATTTTGAGATCAAATTTTTGTAATGTTGGAATTAAAATCAGTGAATATTTTCAGTCTGAATTACTGCTGTAAAAATCAATTTGAAATCTTTCATTTTGATTTTTGATTTGTTAGCATATTTTTTGTTAAGTTTCTTGTGGAAAATGTGCAAGGATTTCTTTGTATGTAAACATGTATTTGAATTATATTATTTTGTTTGCTAGCGCCGTTCGCACAATACTTTTTTTGGATCGTTTGTTAGACCGCTTATGAACTTTTATTTTTCAACACGGTAATCTGAGGTTTGTCCATTCAAAATATAACATATAATTAGGTTAATCGCTTAATTAAATGTTTTGTGTTAATGCATGTAATGAGAGAGTTTGTCCGAATAAACAGAAGTGTGTGGGTTGCAGGCTTTTGAGCTGTTTGTCCAACTCTGCACTTTCTTCACTTCAGTCACGATTGATGCGGAAAAAGAATGTTTCATCACATAGGATTCAAACATGTCAGAGGTTAGATTATTATTGTTTTGGCTAGTGCTATATCAGTTGATAAGCTTTAATAGAAAATTGCATTTCATAGGGGCCAGTAATTGAATAGGCACCTTTGCTTTTCAACACGATTAAATTGAGGTTTGTCCATTCAAATTTTATCATGTTGTGGCGTTATCTAATAAAGGTAAGCACTGTTGCTATGGAGTCGTAAAATTTTAATTTTCATTCTCTTTTTCATTTAATATTCTGATCGAATTGCAATATAGGATTTGAATTTTTGATCAAAATGAATGGATAATTTCTTTTTCCCTTAGGTTAATTATGTTATATTATGTTATTATGCTCATATTAAAATAAAAGTGAAGTTGGACCCTGTAAGAAAACTTCGTTGTTTATTTCCGGTTTTTTTTTGCCGAAATTCGTTCATTCTGCGGAAATTATTATTTTTTGGATAAAAAATGTGGGTGTTTCAATCGAAATTTATTATAAATTTTTAGTCAGTTTTATAAAATTAGCTAAAGAAGGAAGTTTATTACCTTTCTTATTTCTGCCTGCTTGCTTTTTTTTAAGGTAATGGTTAGGTTAACGCGAGGTCGAATAAAAATTTGGCGTTCACTGAATTCCGAAGATTTGGAAAAGGAACTTAATGAAATCTACTGCGAAATTTCGAAAAAATTCACTTTCGCTGACATTGATTTAGACACAAAAAGAGTTATTTTTTTTAAAATTTTCATGGTCTTTTCATTTACGAAAGATTTCTAAAGAAATTAGTTGAAAAATCTGAAGAAAACTTCATATCAAAATTTCAGAAGTTCAGAAGTTTTGAAAATTAAATAACGATTCAAGCTTTTTAAAATTAAATTTTTTTTTTAAGGAATACAGAGATTTTTTATGTGACAAATTCCAAAAAGCATCGATCCCACTGAAAAGAGCTTTATTGGCTTGCGTCAGAATTTTATTCCGCGATAAATATAGTGTTGAAGAAATGGTCAACGATGAATTGTCTACGATTATAATACAAGCAGCTTCCCTTACTGAAAAGTGTAACGTTTTTGATGACTTCGGAGGTTTGTTTTAGATTCCTCTTCTTCTAATGATCACTATTTCTGGTTTCGTTCACCGATCCGCGCTCCACCGATAACTATTAGGATGAGAAAGTTGTTTGGGACAAAAATACAAACAGAGTTAATGATAATGATAGGTTTACTTCTATCATTAGCATTAATAAATTAATAAATTTAGTTAATAATCGTTGATTTATAAGTTTTTTTCAGTTTACTTCAAAATCCTTTTTTTAACTGAATTCACGTTTGATTTGTTGGATAACTAATAATTTCGAATTAAATTTATTTTTTTACAACTTATCATCCAAAAATTTTCGGAGAATTTTTTGCGTCTTAATTCAGCCAGATTCATTTCTGCTTATTTTATCTTTTAATGGTATTTTTAATGGTTTAATTTCAGTTTTAATGGAGGCAGAAATGTGTCTTATCAATGGTCTGTTTAATGCTATCTCTCTTCGACAGACTTTCACGTTGGTTAATGAACTATTCTTAATACCAAATAGTGGATTAAAATTATTCTCACCGTTAATATGTAATATTTTAAGGGAACGTTGCTGTGATTCATTACTGAACCGTATTGAATTATTAAATGCTGTGGATGAGGTAACTACATGCGATGATTCATATTCTGCCCCTAATGTTTTTTTTCTAACCATCGAACAGATAAATCAGCTTGCATTTTATGATCTCCGTATTTCATTCGTTTTGACTGCTTATTCTATGCAATTGCAGGTTTGTTTGTACAAGAAATAAGGCACCTACAATATGTATTCCCTTCATTTATTTATATTTTTTGCTACAGAAACTGGCGTTAAGCATTTTTGAGCTAAGGATGTCTTTGAAAAAATATGATTTTTTAATTTATATGGTTTTTATGTTTATTGCAAGTACCAATTTCATATGCCACCGATTTCGATTAGATTAGAAAGACAAAATTTTGATTCTTGATTCTTGTAAAAAAATTACATGGAATTACATGGTCTGAGCAATTTTGAGAAATAAAATCTGGCAAACAGATGGTTTAGTATAGTCATATTTGGATCCGATCTAGATCTGAATGGAACTATCCCATCTATTTACGCCACCTTTTCTCTTTTAAATGAAAATTTTGTCAAAAATCGAATAAATCGAATATGTTAGTATTTTTCAGTCTCGCTGGTTATCAAATGGTTTTGATAAATTTCTTGGAGTTGTCGAAAAATGTTTGAATTACCCAGAACAACTGATGAAAATAATATCTAGAAGCGGTTCATTAACTTATTTTTATACCAAAATTATAGTGGTTTCATAATATTTCTTCAATTCGATTTTCAATATTTTTCGATGTTTTTTATTTATTATGCCTAATTTTTTAAATTATTTTAATTTTTAATAAATTTTTTCAATCAAAGGAATATATTTTTCGCTATCTTTTGGTTCTTCTTTTGCATTTATTTTAAGCGTTTAGGCGACTCCACTTTGAAATCCTTTGTCAGTCGAGCCAACGAAGCTTTAAAAACAATTTTTAATCTCTTGAGTCATGCGGATAAGGAATCGGTATCGGTGTTTGTTAATAATATTTATTTAATTATTTAATCTTATTCGTCAATTTCTTTAAATTTCTCTTCTTTCTTTAAATTATTTTTCAATAATTGTTCTATCGGTTAAGTCAATATTATACTACCAAAATCAAGTTATAGGTAAACACATCGTTGTGCATACGCTGCATTACATTATGCGCGAAGATTATTATTCTGGAAAATGTCGAACCTTCACTGGAGCAAGCGGCTGTAAATATCTTAGTAACAGTTCCATATCCATTAAATCTACTTCTAACAAAGGTTATATATATTATTATATATTATATATTATACAATATAATATTACATATTATATAATATATACACTTCTAATGAAGCTGATATTATATTATTTAAATATATATATATATACATTGTCTTTGATATTCATTTCAACCGAAGTTTAATGTTTAATTTCTCAATTTATATATTTTTCAGTCATCAAATGATTCGGCTGATTTGACTGATTTCGAAGGATATAATATGCATTTTCCCGATGTTCTAATAAAAGCTTTAAACCATCGAATGGTACTCTCAAAATTTATTTGATTTGTTACATATTCTAATGAATGGCTCAAGTTAAAACTCGCAAATTTATCAAGAAAAAAGTTGAATTTACGAATCTTTTATTTCAAAGTTTTTAATTTTTGTCTACGAATCTGTTATATAAAAATTTCAAAATTTTAAAGGATGATGAAAATTTTGAATTTCTCAGCTCCTATTTTACGGTTCTAATCAATTTATGCAACCAGTCTAAAGAAGTCAGACGATATTGCAGATTACAGGTTCTTTTTTTCTTCTCAGGCTGAAATATTTGCTCAAGGGTTATAAAAGGTTTCATTTGAATGAAAAAAGAATGGATTACATAATTTAGATAATGCCACCATTACGCGCAACACATGTGCGAAGAAGACCTGATGTCGGTGGCGATATGCGTAATAAACTCATTCGTATTATGATGGGAATGTCCAATTGTCGGCAACTGGCTGCTGAACTGCTTTTTATTTTATGCAAAAAGAATGGTATGAATTTGAACCTATTTGCCTTTTTCATCGTGTGATTAATCAAAATATGCCTTCATTGTGCAATCATATAATTACAACCATAATTTAATTTGAGAGAAAATTTTTCATCGAAATTTGTTAAAAATACTTCGCAACCACTTTTAAAAAAATTTGAATTGGTAAAATTTATGCTATCAATACTTTTAAATTATTCATTATTCGTTATTCATTAAAGTAGGGAAAAATAAATCCTTCACTTTTTATATAAAAAAAAATTGCAAATTCCAAAAGATAAAAGATATTAATATAAAAGGCAAAGGTATTATAGATATTAATTCAAAAAATAAAGAAATTAATTTAGTTGCTCTCACAATTTATATTCAGAAGACAAGAAATGAATAAAGAATTCGTTGAAAACTCTTACAGGAGAAAATTTTATCGAAAATGAAGACTGAAAATCCAATTTTGATCGTATCGAATGAAACTGATAAATTTTTCCTTATTTAAAGAATAACTTTTAAAGAAATGACCTGATCTTTACATACTTTAGTCGGTCGATTTATGAAATATTGCGGGCTTGGAAATGCAGCCGGTCTCTTGGCCAACTATGGTTTACTGGGTTTAATCAACCAGCCAAGAAGCAGTTCAGACAGCGAAGAATCTGAGACGGAAGATTATAAGGAAGTTGAACATATGTAAGAATGCAAATATTATCAGATTTTATTACGATTTTTCATTATTCCATCTTTGATATTTTTAAGGGTGAATCCAATAACTGGATACATCGAAGAACAACATGAAAATCCAGTAAGTATGTCAGAAGAACAGAAAGAATATGAAACTATGAAATTAGTGAATACTATGAGTAAACTAATGGACCAAGGTGTGATTTCTCCTTGTACAATTGGGGATGACGGACGAATACGACCTGTTGAGCATATACTCGAATTAACGAAAAAAAATGTCGAAATAAATGAAGATGACGATGAATAAAAATTTCATTTATGTTTTGGGTTATATCTACGTGCAAATAAAATGAAACCAGCCACCATCTATTTAAAAATTGCTAAAATTGAATAATCATAAGCAAAATGGCAAGCAAGCAAACAAAAGAGGGAAAAAAAGTGGAAAAATATTTGAGTTTTGGGATTTTATTCCTCATTCCTCGTATTTTCAAATTTCGTCGTTTTTATAATATGTGGTTATCTTGAATTTTTATTCTCGGTCTTCAATGTCTGTTTTGACCCATTTCTTTTGTAGCTGCAGGTTAACAATTACATCATATGATATCGTTCAAAAATGTTTTAGTAATAGAGGAATTAATAAGTTTTAGACAAAATATGTATTTATTTTTTAAAAATATACGATTGTCCTTAAAAAAACTTTGTTTTAATTGAATTATTCGATATAGAAGTGAAAAATTGTTTGAGGATATAAAGAAAGAATTGGACATAAATCGCCATATGGGGATAAGTTACAAAATTAATGAATTATTCCATTAAGTGGGTATGACTAATTTTGAAGTTTTCGACTCAATTACAGGCAAATGTTGCCAGATTTCATTAGAATTGTTCACATTTCTTAAGACCTGAAAAATCATTCAATATGAATTCAGAAAAAGTCTGATTTATATGTAAAAGTCTATTTAAATTTAAAAAGTAGATATATTGATATTGATGAAAATAAGCATTTCAACGCAATTTATGCAAAAAAAATTCTGTTGGAAAATAGAAACAAACTGAAGAAGGAATGGAGTCAAACTTGGCTTCTCGTTTCGTCCATTCCCTTAATATAAAGTCTTTTCCACGTTCTGCAAAAAGCCTTGTATCTAAGATACGCACAAGAACTTCGTCTATACGCAAATAGAACCGAGCAAGTAGAAAAAGATAGGTTGGCATCACTCTAACACGAATATCCATCTTAATGATTAATTAATAATTATTGATATATGGCATCATGGAACCACACCTATGAGAGAAAAATAAGAATGAAATTGCATTTGAATGAGTTTTATTTAGCTTTGCGAAATTTTTTTAACCCAAAAGAAAAATGACTGAAGAGAAACCTGTGCACATCCATGGTCAGCCAATTCATCCTCGTAAAGTGTCAAATGCGAATAAAAGACAATTGGATCACGCCGCTTCAATTTTTCAACATCAATAGCAGTATTTGTTGGTGAAATCTTCAACGCATCTTTATCATGACTCTTGAGGAAATATAGGGTGCATTATATGTTGAAATAAAAAACTATGGTTTCTAATAAAATTAAAACTAACTTTGAATAATTGAACTGTTCCTTGATACTCGCTCGTAAAAGTCCAATCGAAAGAAGTACCGGAGTGTAGATCATATTTATTTGACCTAGCTTGTTGCCACGCTGTACTCGACTTTACCTATAATTAAAATTTTCCAGACAGAAAAAAATCAAAATATATATATACTTGTACATACTTGTACATCTGGAGAAGTTTCCGCATTGACTTCCTTTAGTGCATCCAAAGCATTAAAGGTTATGAAAACTTCGGGTTGATCTTTACAGCGAATGGTTATCGAATTATTAGGGAAAACCATTTCTGGTAAATGAGGCAATTTTAAATCCGCTCTGAACTGGCAAACCTAAAAACTTAAAAACTTGAAAAATGCTCGAGGAAACAAGCTGTTCTACCTTCATATAATTCTTTAAAGAAGTGCCATTTCTCAAATTGTTTTTCTTCGAAAATAAAACCTAATAAAAAATAAAATTTTTGGACAGAAAATCTCTATGAATATATTCATTCAAAAAAAACGCATCCAAAATATGAAAACTTACCAAACAGCCACCTTTTAACACATCATGATGACATTCTGATGAAAGAATATGACTTTCAGACGTTGCAATTTCCAAAAGATCAAATGCAAAACTTTCCTAAAAAATTTCTTTGTAGCAACAAATTTATGTATTAGTCGCTAAAAACATGTTAAGTGATGTGTACCTGATTTATAGGTTGATTTAATGCCTTAGCTATAACGCGTCTTGCATCGTTAGAGCAAGAAACATCTATTTTTTCTGCAAAAAATTATCAAGAGAACAAGAAAAAGTATAATTTCATTAACATTCCAAATATGTTAATTATTAACTGATTATTTGTATGATATGCAAAAAACTTTCAAAAAAATACCTAATATGTTGTCATCAAACTTTCAAAAGCATCTAATACGTTGCCATTAAAATATTAACAAAATATTAATATTTTTAATATTAATATTAATATTTTTTTAACAAATGGAAAACAATCGCAAGCTTTCCGATCTTATAAAAAAAATTTATTTCTTCTTGAAATTTAAACCATTATAATACCAGTCTTTCTCGAATAAATTTTTAATAACTCTCAAAAATGAGTATAATGAGAAAAAATATTCCTTTACTTGGAAAAGCTCCAGTCAAAAATCCACTTTCCCAACATTTTATTTTTGCCTATCGGACAAATCTTTCCTATTTGAAAACATTGCTATGAGCTGTGATAATGAAATATTTGATAACAAAATATTTTACAACCATACTAACCCGGCGAAAATGACGTATCCTTTGTCGGCATCGATAATACAACGCTCAAACAGTTTAAAAGATGACGGCCTGCTTAACTGACCAAGGAACTATAAAAATAAACGATAAAGCAAATTCGAACTTCCCACAGGAAAGAAATAAATAATCTTCATGACTGGAACCTACCACCTGAAATTTCATAAAGGACACTAAATTTTTTCGCTTTCTTCGATGCTCAAAATTGACATTCAATTATTTTGCTGACTTTTACCGATGTATATCCAAATGTAAATAAAGACTAGCACGATAAATCCGAGATTCTTCTTGTTCTTAACAACTTTCACCACTACTGGGCTGGCTCTAACGGCTAAAGGGTAAGACGCTTCCAAGCGACGCGGTCTGATGCCATTGTCGACAGTAATAGAAGCCATTTCTTTTTCCATCGTCTAAGTCCATATATTGCTGGTCTACCTATACGTTCAAAATCTTTTCTGACCAGTCCAAATCTTGATTGGCTCACCTCGCCTTTTGACGCCAACCATCATACGTAATAAAATATGGCTTAGCAAGTAATGAAATATGCGTCAACTCCTTTGATGAACGACAGAGAACGCGCTCTAACCAGCCAAGGTAACCAGCTAAGGCTCTGTGATAACATTATTGCAAGTAGCTGCCATGATCCGGACTATAATATTCTTTTGCCTGGCAATTTGGTATTAGAGTGGATCCAAGATATTAAAAACGGGCACTTCCTCGCAATGAATTTTCAACAATTATTATCAGCATCTTGCACATAAGACGAAAACACTTTCATTATATTTACATTAATCCTGAGTCCCATTCTCGCTGCAGTTGCTGACACGTTATTTAGCATTATTTGAATTTCATCACAACTGTCAGCAAAAAGGACTACATCATCAGCATATTCAATGTCTATGATGCTATGCTCTGGACTGATTTGGACAGCTCTTGAGTGCCGATAAGCGGTGTCCATTATCAAATCGCATAGTTGAATACTGTAGGGAAAAGGACGCAGCCCTGACGGACATAAGCTTAATTTCGAAGGAGTCTGTCAGCTCCATATGCACAGATCTGCGCAGACGTGCGCCCATAAATTGCCATTATCAGTTGACTTCCTTCAATATTAGCTAAATGTAGGGAGACTGATATAGTCGAAATACCCAATAAATAGTAAAACGTAATAAGAATTACTTTTCGCTTATCTGGTCCTCTATTTCTCACGTGTTGTCAATTTTATACGCATCTTGGCTCGAACCACAACATAGTCAGATCCATCAAAATTACCCCGTATTTCGGCGTCGCGACAGGAACGAATTGGTACGAAACCCTTTCAATGACGACTGATTAAAATATATAATATGGTCATAATCAAACTGGTTGGTGATATTCAGGAAGTTCCACGTGACTAGATGTTTATGATACCGGATATTAATAAAGGTATAATATAGAAATATAAAAAAATTATTAACGAAAAAAATTCATGCTTTTCGGAATAACGGAAAAGACGTTCCCCATTGGTGCATCTATCTCCGATGCCATATTTGCCAATTGTCGAGATCATTGCAGTGGTATTACGACCTACGCGCTCATTTCAGTATACCTCGATTATGACCATATCATGTTTCGGTAGAGGCTTTGTTAGAAATTATAGTTCGCATAGAACTTATTTTTATCACGGTATCTATCGACAGAGATAGAGCATAAACATAGATAACCGAGAAATTGCAGAAGATACCTTTAAAATAAATATAAGCCAATACAGTCGCTTACAGGTTTCCACTCAATTAAAACGTTAGACATGACAATCGCAATCGCTATGCCATTTTGCCTCGAGTTATTCCGAAGCACCACAGTGATATAATCAGTATAATCAGTACCTCTGCTCCGCTTGACTTCCAACGTCCATACGCGTTCTAACGTTTCACGCTGGTATGGTTAATACCTCACCACTCGTGCAGAGAGCTTTTCCCTTTTATAGGTTTCGAGCAATTACTCTGGCTTGCGAGCACATTTTATTTGCCTTGGGATCGCTTTATCGGATTGTATACTTACCGCATGTATCACCGGGCTGGGATTATCATACACATCGGAAGACGCCGTATCAAGAAACCCCTTCACCATAGAGTTACTTGGGAATAAAGTTATAAGTATGCCCCCATCAACCACTTGGATTTTTAAAATGACAGGCTTGTCAAAGACAGGTGACAATATTGTTTATTTTATTTTATATTATAAATATATATATGTATATAGACAAATATATATATATACCTATTTATTTCTTTTTTGTTTTTAAATTTAGAAAAAAAAGAGAAAAGGGGAAAAAAACTTAATTCGTAGTTTGTAGTATTTTTTAGTAGAAATTCTAAAAAAAGATTCCGAAAAAAATTTAAAGCGGAATAGCAATACAACCGCTTAAGATCAAATCAGATTATACACATTCGAGGTCAACGAATTTTGAAAGATTTTTATCATCGCAAAAAACGAAAAAAAAACGCATTTGACAAACGATAAACGAAAAATTTTTGAAAAAAAATTAGTGAATGAAAGCACAAATCCAAAATCCACAGTTTAATCCCAAAACTTCCTTTAAAACTTTTCTTTAGGGATAATGTGCCCAACGAAATAACTAAAAACGAAACTGCATTCAGAATTACTAAATTGTGAAAAATAATTTCTCAATGCTTTATGCCACAAAACCTGAAGATAAAGAATCACCTCTGTAACTGCACAATATCGTCAAATGAATAAATATCTTGAAGAATAATCTGTTTAATAAAATAATATCAACTAAATAGGCACAATTTTTTCGAATTAAAATACAAAAATCAATTAAAAAGAGTACAAGAAAAGAAATTTCAATTTCAATTTCAATGATATTACATTGAATACGTTGTTAAACAGAAAACCTATAGAAAAAAATTAATAATTTGAATTCTTTCTTTGAAATAAAGCATAAAGTTCAGGAAACTTTTCGATTTCATAATCAGTATCATTGCGCAAGCGATTCGCAAGAAAATAATCAAAAGCTGCTTCCAAAGTATCCAAAGTCTCAGGAGCGATATTATTAAGTTCTACATCCTTAAATTAAGCAAATATATGTCCAAAAAATTCCAATGGCATATGGAGAAACGTACAAAATAAAAAATATTGTTGGAAAATTAAAATTCCAGTAAAAAAAAATAAAAATATAATAAGTGATGCTTATTTTTTTACTGGAATTTCTTGTAAATGCCAATTAATTATATGTCTAAAATACATCAAATAAACAGAATTTTAGCGTAAAGTGGCTTACTGAGATTGCTGCCATATCTGAAAATCTGCAAGTTTCTTGAATCGCTTCATTAACTGCACACAACATCACGTTATCCGAATCAATAACATTTTTTTTTTCATCCTAAATTTATCAAAAAATGATTTGATTAAATAGGGACAAAAAGTAGCAATTTTTAGTAGTAAAAAGCAAAGAAATTATTTTTATCATCATTCCACCTACCCTTCATTATATTAAAAATTTCAATTTATTCACACCTATTCACAAAAATCTATGCGAAAATTAACCTTTTTCTTTATTTGTAAGCCGCTCAGTAAATAAGCATCACTTAATCCAGCTGATTCCCTTTTTTCCAATTGTCGACACTGATCGATTTCGATAACTGGTACCCATTCCTGAAAGAAATAATCTTAATCTTATAAAAATTCATCATGCACTGTTATTGGAAATATATATTTAGTAAACCTCTGGCAATATATTTTTCCACGAGTAACTACTGCTTCTAGTAGGTGCATCGTCCTGTTTTTCAGCGACTCGCTTTCGGGATCGATTATTGCCAGCAACCTTAAATAAAAATTAAATAATATAAAACAAGAAAAATAAGATAAATGGAAAATCGGCGAATTTATGAGTGACTCACCGCGTTTGATGTTACGTCAATATTTCTCGCTTGCTGAATCCTTTCATCTACAATAAAATATGAAAAAATATTTCATCAAAACCTAGAATAAGAAATGACTTTGGTTGAACATCTATTCCCAGATCTCATTCTAGGAAGTTTCGCAAATATTTCGAGAAAACAACCACGATCGCAAACATTACTGTAGATATATAAATTAATATCACTCAATTATAATTTCCTTATATACGTCCAATATAAGTTCTTTAACCATATTGAAATTGAAACTGATTTACCACTGATTTAAAACGACCTACCGTTACTTTGAATACTGTCGACCTGTCTTTCATCAGAATGGTTCGAAGGTGCTTCTTGGCTTAATTCTACGTTATGTGCCATGTGTTGAGTTTCCCTGTTTCTAGGTCGACCTTCATTTTCCCGATTCATCACCTCCTACAATAAACAAAACCATACTCTTTCAAAACACTTTTTTTGGATAAGTTTAAAAATTTTATATTACTAACCGTATTAGTAAACGTTACTTCTTCAATTTCAAAATCTACAGGTGGTTCTCCATGAAGCTGACCAATCTCTGTCGATGCTACATAGCTTTCTGAAAAAAAAATCTATATATATATATATATATTTGGAGCATCTGGAACTGATAAACTGGAAAACTGGCATCAGCACATTCCAGGAATAATATAAGAGATCCTTATATGGAAAAGAGTATTGCCAAGATAATGCACAGAATTTCCTAGATTTCTAATAGAAGATCCGAGATTCAGGATGATCCTTACCGCCCAAAGATGAAGAAAAAAGGAATATATAATATTTACAATAATAATAATCGCATAAAATAGAAAGAATCACCATATGTGTCGAATTCACCAGCAGCATTATTCAATTCCAGTGAAACTGAAGGATCAGAAAGTGCCATCATGTAAATAGTGCGCCGTAAAACACCCTCCAGGAAAAATGCAAATCGTTCTCCTGGTTGAAGAGATTCATTCGGGGTTTCTGGCACGATTCCTCTAACTATATTCTATAAAAAAAATCATTACAAAATTTTCAGAATTTTGCAGAATAAAAAAATATAATTTAAGAAGCAAATTTAAGAAATTTAGGTATTTTCTTTCAAAGAAAATTGGTAGCAAACATAAAACATTATTATAAAAAACTGTAAAAAACTGTAGCCAAATAACTTGGACATACCCATCGGCTTAGTAAAGAAGCTAACTCTCGGCTCGCATCGGACATTTCCACGCTGTCTGATACTGACTCACAATTTCGATTCAAAATCTGTAATTATGATTTAGGATGAATTTTTGAAATATGTAAGAAATGTAACATTTTATTGGTATTTAATGTAGACTGGTCTATATAATTTTCCTCAAAGAAAACCTGAATAAACCAAAATAAACATCTTCCTTTGTTAATATTCTTTTTTCCAAATTCCCATTATTCCCTTCAAAAAAAAAACAAAAAAAGATAATTAGACCAGAAAATTCCATTATATCTACTGATAATATAGATAACTCAAGCGGTTTTTATATTTTCTCGAATTCAAAACTGAAAGAATCGCTTTAGATACCCTACCTTTCAAACCTCGCAATATCTCCTTAAATTTCTGGCCCATGGGCAGCCCATCCCCTTCTTTTACCAAAGTCTGATAGCAACATCTCTAAGCATTTACTATCTCTACCACTTTCTACATTTTGTAAACTACTGTAATTTTAAACCACTTTCTGCCAATTCCAATTTTATTCCTCAAACATGGTCTTGATATCTTATGCCAAAGATTATTTTATTTCTTTAATATCTCAGCAAATCTTGTAACGCATTTTTGCTATCATAGCAAATACTAATTTAAAAACACAAACAACAATGGTGACTGAGGGGTATCAAGGAAGTATAACAAGAAAATGTTTAAAATGAATTATGAGGGCTAAAACAGAGGCTAAAAACAGTGTAGCAGGGTTAAAAGGCGATATAAAAAATTTATATTCCAAAGCTATCTTATTTTTCTAACAGCTCTCACCACTGCTACCTTAGCTAGCTCTATTGGCGATTATGATAAGAGATATTAAAAATTATCGTATTCCAGTATCATGGGTGAAAACGACTGAATCCTCCTCCTGTCTAAATCCATATATAACTAAGCCGGTCATGTCATGCTTTCTAAATTTTTCCCGACCGCATCACTCTAAAATTAATCCTCTTTGTTTCTGAAGAGGATCATCCATTATAAACCTTAGCAAGTGATGAGATGCCAATTCCTATAATGGACGATGAAGAGTATGGCTACTATATATAAGAATGAGCCTGAAATATTTAAAGTGTCTCTCCAGTGCCCACAAGCAGTGTCCAGACCAATTTATGGCACATATGAATATAATAAGGGAGAGAAGGGAGAGAACAACCTTGATATAGACTAAATTGTGCTTCGAAAGAATTAATAGAAATATGTCGATATTTTAATAAGTCTGATTACTTAATCTGGAACACTATCTGCTCTATGAATTTTAAGATGCAATGGTTTGAAAGCGATTTCGCCAATTCATCCGCTAGATATACATAAATATGAGCAAAAATCGAATTGGAATCAAAACTCCAAAACTTCATTAATATACAAGAAACAAGATGTCTATAATTATCAGTATCTTCAAAAATTGAAAATTAAACCAAAATACTTCAAGTATAGAGCTAATTAGCGATTCATATTCATTGGAATTGCGAACTGATGAAATTGCACTGCGCAAACGACTATGACATTGCATAAGAGGATCGGGGTTATAAACAGAAGCTTGAGTGCCATGTAAGCTCGCTGATGGATTCTAAAATTTTATACTAAAAATTGAGAAAAATCATCAATTAAATAATGAAATCTTAAAAAGCAGACAAAAATAATTAATTAATTTTAATATTTAAATTAAAAGTGAAAAAAAACATACCGAAGAAAAACCTATATCGTTAGTTCTTTCGCCGGAATTTGAAGCAGCACGAACAGATGATGGTCTACGAATCCAATACACAAAACTGAAAAAAAAGTGATATAAAAAATCATTGGTTAAAATCAAAAGAAGAAGCAAAAATATCAATCCAGAAAAATAATTTAAAAAGTTGTAATTAAACATAAACTGAAATTACTTTGGTGGATTTTGACCACTGCTATCGGCAGATGAGAAAGGAGGGATCGGTTGAAAAGTCGTGGTTACATTCGTATGATGAATAAGGCGCATATTACTGCTTTGACCTGAACTCGCCTACTTAATTGTGAAAATAAATGTCTTATTTCTTTTCTCCTAGATTACTTTATAGAACTTCACTTTACTTTATAGAACTTATCTACCCATTTTAATTTTGAAAATATCTCGATGAGTTTTTCCTAGAAACAACATACTTTATAGTGATAGAAAGAAATTCTCTATTTTCAACTCGATAAACAAATGATTTCTCCATGCCACTTTTATAACAACAAAACAGCAAAACAGAACCAACCAGGACGTCTCGGCGCCAAAAACTGTTCTTGCGATTGAACAGGATGCCCTTGAAGAGGAATATTTGACAATATATAAGGGATAGCAGCTTGGAACTGACGAACTGCTGGGGTCAAAAGAGGACGAGGTAAATTAAAAGTTCGATCTATAAAAATATGAATTGTTCCATATGAACATAATATAATAGATGACCAACAATTTTGACTTAAAGTATTACAATTATCAGTCAAATATGCATTCTCTTTAAGGAAGCAACTAGCTTCAAGTTGATTAACGAGAAAAACCATTTCTTTCGAAAGAAAATGCTGGATGTGACTGTTAATTTAAAAATGGAAACGAAACAGTGAATTCTTTTGGCCATCAAAATATCAACAATTAAAACCAAAAAGGAACCTAAGGTATGTGGTGCACTAGCAATTAATGGATATGCACCAGCTAAGATAGGAGTTATAAAAGAATTGCTTCTTGCATTTCGACGTTCTTCTCTAGCATTTAATCCTGCAAATTCGCGCAAGCTAATAACACCTAGAATTCAAATCAAATTTGGCGATGAACGCTGAAATAGCAAAATGAGACGAAAAAGAAACGAGACGAACTTGAAGATAAAGAAGTCGCACCAGCATTGCTAGAACGAGTTAGTTCTTCAAAACTATGTGATGAAGGGGCAGTCGTTCTTCTGGTTTCATCGTGTGGTGCGAAATAAATCATTAAATTTACCTTAAAAAACCGAAAAATTTAAACATATTTTTGGCAATAGAGAGCAAATGTATAAGTATCGATAAAATCAAACGGTATGCAGAAAAATGTTATTATTATTAATTGGTTGTTAAATTATTAATTGTCAATTATTAATTATTATTAATTTAAACCATAAAATCAATACAACAATGCTACGCATCAATACTACGCATAATCAATATAACCAAGAAATCCTAAAATAAGTCGAAAGTAATGTATGAAACACCTTAAATTCTACTTTTGCAGTATTAATTAAAATATAAAATGAAATACAAGAGTTGATTCATGAACAGCAGGATTTGGTCCACTGCTGAGCAAATTTGATGAATATGATTCAGAAGAAATATCAAAAGAGATATCGGAAAGTGCATGATAGGCATGAGCCAGCCTATGCATATTTCTTTGCACATGCTCTTGAAATGCAATCATAATATATTTCAACAAACCCTAAAAAAAAAAAACAACAATTTATGACAATTTAAAAAGGCAAAGAATCAACAAAATTTAATAATTTAAAACTGAAAATTTAAAAGAAAATTTTTCCAAAAGAAATAAAAAAGCAAACTTCAAAACATTTAATATCGAATGCAATTTGGCTATATTTATTAAAAATAACACTGGCTTCGGACTGTATTTCAATCATTTTTACGATAACAACGCCATAACTGTCACCATGTGGATGCCTGAAATTTTTCATACTGAACATTTGTCAAAAAGAAAACGAAACTACCATTAATACAATGCCAAAAAAACAAAATCAGAAGGCATGGCCAATAACCAAATTATCTTCATATAAAGGCTAAAGGCCAAAACTAATTCATAAAGAAATAAATGGTAAAGATACCGAAAGATAGTTCGGCGTTCAGAAGAATTAGAAGAATTGTCACTCACTTCAACCAAACTACCTGAAATGTCTGTTTGACTATAGTGCGAAAGAAACAAATGAATAAAAGCATACATATATTTACAATCTTTGTACAAAAGTATTTATATACATCAAACGTTCTAATCGTGAATATTTAACAAAAATTAGCACTATTCTCATCTTGGGCCATATTTTCCACAGAAAAAAAAAATTATGCTCAGAAACAAGAAAAATGAATCTTACTTGTCTGCAAAAAATTTCTATCGGAAACAAAATTTTGAACGCATTCTGAAATAGAAACGAAACATTGAAGAAATTAACAAATTAAAGAATTTTTTTTCTTTCCTTATGGTCAGATCCCTCCATTCGCCAGAATAGAAGTATAACCTTATATCGGACCTTATATAGATTTTATTTAAGCACGATTCTAGAAAAATTAACATTTCAGTGAGAACTAATATATATTAAACCGCTGCAACCAACCTGAGCGAGGAATTTTGGAGATTTCTTCTAACTCCAAAACGAGTTGACCAAGTTTCATAATACCATTTTCTAGCTCATGATTAATCGGATCACTACATATATTTTCTATCCATTTATAAAGTTTCTGAATGAAAATATGAGGAATGCACATTCCAAATTTCTTTCAACGTAAAACGCTGATTATTATTGTAGAAAATATACATAAAAATAATATAAATAAATAAAAATAATTTAAAAATTCTTAGACTGATTACAAGATTCCGTATTTATAAATTTTATATTTTGTCTTCAGCCAAAAGCACGGTAAGTCAAGCACTTAAATATTTTCAAATAATTTTTTTAAATAAAAGATTCTAGTTTACAAAAAAAACTGAAATTAAACTGAAAATCGACAAAAAAAGAACTTACGTTGAGAAGAGGAAATGTTCTTTGACATCGATAAAGCGCATCGATAGCATATATTAAACGCAGACGAGAATCAGAATCTAATTCATGAATGTTATTACCATATATTCGAACATTAATGGACATAGCTCCTTCACGCGGCGAATTTTCTACCATTGCAATTGTTGATGAAGTACTTCTTGGAAATGAGGACAGAACATTTTGCACCGTCCGCTTTACCAATTCCTTGAATAAATGAAAAACTTTCACAAAAAACTCAACAAGAAAAATCAGAGAAACTTTGCTGAAAAATGCCTCGAAGTAAAGCACAAATTCTAAATATAATTCTGAATTAAAAAAACTTGCTAAATTATGATTGGGATCTTGAAAAGGCGTTGTACGATGTACATGGAAATCCACATTTATTTGATTCATCACTTCCGCATTAATGCCGGTGGCAACATTATCTGAAGTAGCTGTTGAAGCTTCATGAGAAGAGCCACTTGAAAGCCCTGTTGTATCTCTCCCACCAAACGTGCTAAATTATTAATAGTAAATTATTAATAAATTATTATTAATAAATTTACAAACTTTAGAAACGAAGACTGAAAATTTGATTTTTTCAAAAATGTATTCGTATACGCCATATATACACATATCTATCATCTATCTAAATATGCGATTAATTAATTCATTAATTCCACTTGAGTTCGATAAAAAATCTGGAAAACTGGCCATAACTAACTTCATTAGAGGCCGTTCGACCAAATGAATAGTGAAGCCATCTCTCAATCCATAATCTGCTAAAAGGCCATTGTTTGTTAGTGGTTTTCCTTGAAATATCAGTCTCTGACGATCTTTCGAAATGTTCGTCATCGTTTCAATAATTTCATGAAGTTGTGAAACGGTCGCCTATAATTAAGCATTTTACTTGAATATTAAAATGCATATATATAAAAAATTTTTCTCTCACCTCTGTAGGTGGTGATGATCATCCTCAACCACTAGTCCTCTATTAGAAGCGGGGAGAATGAGGGTACTACGCAATATCTTAGCTAAAATAACGCTCTTCTGGATCGACACCTCTGATGTTAATCCTAGAATCTGCCGAAGCCTTTTATAGTTTCGAGGCCACAGTTCCAAGTACTCAATTTATTACTATAACTTCACACTTTGGCCTCTACTTTCCACATTTTCTCCCCTTCCTCCTTCAGCTCTTGGTATTTCTTCAACCTCTTATATTCTTTCTTTCTGACGTTGCTGTTATTTAATATTGCTTCCAAGCCTCCGGAAGAGGACTCGAGGTTGAGGATGTTCATTACTACTCACAGGGGAGAGATAAAATTTCATTTTCAAAAATTCTTACTCTAAAAATTATATAAGTTTACATATATATTAATCCGATTTTAATTGGTAAAAAAGAAGGAATGAGAAAGGAATTTTTCGAAAAATGTGGAAATGCGTATTTTCATAAAAGTATTACGAAATTTTCATTGGTTACTAGTTAGAATTATTTAAAATTCATGTAAATAAGACAGAACAAGAATGAATTGAAAGCATACTAAAAACAAACAAAACTAACATCGTCGGGGGCTTCAACCTCTACGCACGGACGCTGTATCATTTTTACTTTGATCTTCATGGTTCTTCGAGGAAACAGTGAATTTTTTCTGACTGTTATAGATGATTAAGTTTCGGAAAATGAATTACGATACAAAGCAATTCTGAAAAACGTAAACAATAAGAAAATTCTTTTTTAAATCTCAGATTATTTATCACATTATTCGTTCTCGAAAAATTAATCCAATTTCAAAATTTCAACTAAAAAAAGTATTTTAGGAAAAAAGGAAATCAAACGTGTGGAAAAAACCAAAGAATTAAAAGCAAAAGATAGTTAAAAACAAAGAAAAGAATGATTACAAAATAGTAAAAAGTTTATTTATAGAATCCAGCAAAATACCCACACATATAAAATTCCCTCACTCCAAACGGACATCTCTTGCCTCCTTCACCCTCCCGCCTCGTCCCATCCTAACCTAACCTTTCCGAAATTCGGTTGCAGCCATATTCAAGAGCTCGCCAATTTTCCGTCCCCCATTACTGTGAGTTAATGTTTTCGTTTCATGAACCGTAAAATAATTTACAGCGCTCTATTCAATTTGCATCCTTCCAGTTCGGATGAGATCGTCACATGACTACTTCTTTTAATATTCAATTAGAGATAATAAAAATGTAACGATTTTAGCTAAAATTTGCCAATTATCTTAAAAACAAATATATTTTTCTAAATAAATTCGCCATTTTTCAAACGAAAAAAATTGTTTTATTTCAATTTCATTACTAAATTGTTTTAATATAAACATTAAATAAGGCTAATTCTACGATAAAATATCACATAGTTGATTAATAATAATAGTAACAATAATAATAATAACAATGGCATTAAAAAAAATAATAATAGTAATGAAATAAATAATAAAATAAATAATGGTAAGCAATAATAGTAATTAACAATAACAATAATAATAAATATATCAAAGACATGAAACATGAAGAGGAATGTGTTTGTGTGGCTTCCTTTTTACCTATTAATTTCCAGAAATCGTTTGGAATCAATTTTTATTCTGAAGGAAAAAATTTAAATCGAATTCTCTTGAAAACAAAGGAAATTATTGAAAATTTGCGATGATAATTTTAAAGAATATTTAGTACTTAAGAATAATGAAGAATAAATAAATAAAATGATATTTTCGTTGCATTTTGCTGAAAAATCCATTGAGAAATCGGGGATATCCCTAGGCGAGAGAAAAACTTTTTTGTTTCCATTTTATCCAAATTATTCCGTTTCTTAAATTTTTCTACTCAATTTGCCAATTTCTATTTCTTCGCAGATTAACATTAAATTTCATTTTAAATTTTTTTAGAGGCAGAAATGAGAATTTTCATAAATTTTCCACTTACGATGACTAATTAAATAAATTGAATTTCTACGAATTTTCCAATTCAATAAATATATTCAATAATGCAAATTTAAATTTTCTGCTGCGAAATAGCATTGTTCCATCATAGCGATTCATTCTTTTACGCGAACTCGTGCGGCAGAATTTCATATTCGGCGGAGAATGCCTCCTTAAATAAGCATCGATTTTTACTGTTTTTCTTTTTGAAGAAGATTTTCTATGATTAAAAAATGATTATTTGATATACATTGTTAAAGAACAAATTGCGATTTTCTTTGTCATTTTAATTCTCATAGAAAGCTTTCTTCTCAAATTGTATAGAGAAATTGCCCAAAGAGACACTAAATTTAGCCTTTTTATTTTATTTCATTTTCGTGTTTTCAATTCTGCCTCTATGAGTTTCGATTTCGACTTTGTAAATGGAGTTCCGAGCATGAAAAAAAGTCCACTTTGCGACGAAGTACCCGAGGACTTTTCAAAGATTGACCGGGAAAGATTGTTGTGCAAAGATTGCTGCGCACTTGGCTCACTCAGCCGTTTCTAACCGTTTCTCCAGGCTTTTTTAATATCTAATAATTACTGTCTTGAAATTGCTTTGTGCTGTACTGTTTTGAATTCATTTCTCACCCTATTTATCGCAAGCTGTATGGTGCATTATAGATTCGCTGCAGTTTTGCTAATTCGGTTTAGGTAGAATTTTCGAATGCGTTGTTGTCTTCGGAAATCTGCTGATAAAACGTCCTCTATTAGCTCAAAAAGGCACTCTTTTTGCCAGAATTATTCATGTCATCTGAAATGAGATAAATGCTCTTTCTAATGGTGTTATGCTTATTTCGTATTCTATTCAAATGCCATATTTTCAAATTTAAATAACTTTAATATTTTCCATTTGCAGTCTTTTCTGGGAATTTTTTTCCATGAAAATATTGTATTTCGATTTGGATAAATCAATTTATTCTTTCTTTTTCACTTTTTTCTTGAATCTTCTAAAAAAATTCTATTTGAAAGGAAGTTTTATGTTCGAAGTTTGGTGTTTCTCTTCCATCCACCGAAACAGAAGCGGATATCCTGCTTCCTGGAAAGTCGAATAGTTATTTTCATCCATTAATATAAAATTTATCATTATTATGTCAATAATCCAAGATCCAATAGTCTTAAACTTACATCAATGGTCCGACACGTTGTTGATTTTGAATAAAACGTGGTGCTGGTGGCAAGAAGTTGGCTAAAGTTCGAATAATTGATTTGGATCCATCAGAAGAAATCAAATTGCCAAATAACCTTTATAATTCAAAAAATTAAATTTGTGAATTTGTGAATAAAATTAAATTCAAGTTCACTGTGGCCTAATCCAAACTTAGTTTTATTCCAGAAAGAGTGTCGTAAATACCAAAAAACTGGATTTTGGCCAAGAGAGTGACTAATTAATAAAAGCAAAAATAAAAATTTACTTAAAAAAAGTGATTCAAAAATGAGAAATATGGATTTGTATGGCAATAGCAATTGGCATTCACCGCGTGCCTTAGTAGTCGCGTCACACCAAAGTCACCGGTGAAGGCGAGACACTATTGCATTATCCACGGAAAAAAAATTTTACGGAAATTTGTGAACTGAATAAACATGAAAAGTCTCCCGTAAAAAAAAATAAATTTGCGCTAATCAAGATTTTAGGAAACCAGAACTTGTATCGAATTTTTGTTCGACATTCGATTCTACTTTTGCTTCCTAAGGAAATGAAAAATGTAAATGACAAAAGACCTATTTATTTAATAATATACTTCCGAATATTTATATAAAAATTATGTGAAATGATCTATAAAAATTTGAATAAATTGGTAAATTAAACTCTAAAAGATATTAAAATATTTTATTAGCAAATTGGATGTGAGAGTCCACTTTTTCATGAAATGTGACAATACGTCACCTTCGTCACCATCGCTAAACAGCTGCCGCATATGCAAATAATACAAGGTCACAGAGATTCTCTAATAAAACCACTCCACCATATGCAATGAAATAATCGATGTGCATCGTTTTTGTTGTCTATCCATCCATCCTTACATCTTTATGATCTACTCCCATGATGATCCCTTCAATCATCGTTCTTTTCATTTCGAGCTCCCCACTCCCCCACTGTTGTCTAACTTTACACATATATATATATATATATATATGTATATAAATTTGCAGTAATATATTAAATAGGTATATGGAATAAGTTAAATTTTTTTAAAGCAAATTAAAAGATTTGTTAGAATTTTCCAAAATTTCAATAAATTTTATCAATTTTATAAATGGGCGATTAATCGTTGTAATTTAAGAAAAAATTAATGAAGTAATAAATATAATGTATAATTTGTAGAAAAAATAGATGCTTCCTTGATAAATTATTTCTAAGGAATTATTGGTGATAATTAATGGTGTTTATGGTGATAAATATTAAATTAACAATAAGTTAACGGTAATGAATATATTTAATGTGAACAATAAATTCTGTAATTATAATAATTAAAGATAATTAAAATTTATATATATTATAATAATATTAATTTTAATTTTAATTCATATTCTAAATGATAGAAACGTGATGTGTAAGGAAATGATTTAACTGGAAATTATCAACTTTTGATAAGTAAATTTGAAAAAAAAAAACGTGTTCAGGACTGATGACAAGCGTCTCCGCTCGATGAAGCATTGGAAATGATTAACCGCAGTTGGCGAATATCGGCGAACTGCACGTCGTCTCTTTAGCAGAGCAGCGACATCAAAAGCAGCAATATAAACGAACGAACAGCCAGTCAATCTTTACTTTCAAGCACATTCAGCAGTAAATTCATGTCAGTTTTGTTTAGAAAGGATGTGAAAGATCTAGAAAATTCTTTATACTAGGCAATATTAAGACTTTAGAGAAAATTTTTCTTATTGAGCAAATGCTGATTATATGAGTGAAATAGGAAAGAAATTTTCTAGAGCGAGGCAGCTGAGAAAACCCAATTTTAATCATGCGCAAAATGGCACGCCTTTTACGAACTTCCTCGATTATCCGTCTTGCCGGCCATAGCACCAACACTACATACACATTCATATCTATTGGCAATCAGCATGCATCCGTCCAAAGACACAAGAAAAAAAATGTATTCAGCGAGATGTTCATGCTCTCCAGCACTTTTTTCCTTCACATCATCCATTAATTTTTATTATTCATGAGAAAAGAGAAAGTAATAAGTTCTCAAGAAAAGATGACATTTTCAATGGCAGCTCATATGTCGCCCACGCAAGTCCTTGCAAACAAGCATATATCTATGAAGAATATCAATTGATAAAAGAACTGGTAAAAGAAAGATAAAAGGGCAAAAAGATTTAATGCAAGTTTTCTGGATTGCAAAAATTTTCTTCTTTGTTTATTAAATATTTTTTGATAAATTATCATACATTTTCTTTGTAATTGCAACTTAAAAATTGAATTTAAGTATATTTATTCTTTCTTGGGACGAAGGGATTTTAATGATTTTCTCCTGAGAATCGTGGATTTCGGCATATCTTAGTTTATTGACTTAAAACAGATTGACAAAGTTAATATTTTTTGAAGCGAAGTTTAAAAGAAAATTTATTTTCATGGTTTCCTTTATTTGACTTTTCACATCGTGAATAATCCATTCCCTTTCATTAATTAATTTTCCGAGTTTATAAATGAAAAAGGTAATTTAAATTTGAATATTTTAGAATAACAATAAAAATATTTTATGGTAACGTTAATGATGTACGAATTAGCCAGTAATAAGGTGGTAATAGTTAAAAATCGATTTATATACCTTCGATTTACTTTCGATTCGTCGAGCATCATAGGTTCGATTATTAGCTCCTTATCATGAAATGAATACCATAGAAAATTAAATCCGAAGAATAGTGGGAAAACATCACTTTTAACTGTGTCCTCGTAAGACTCGTTGACAGGATTAATAAGACCAGTCGAACCAGTAATGGTGAGCCGAACTGCTCTATCTATTTGCTGAATTTTAGCTAATACTGCTACAATATATCCATGCCAATTCATGCCAGTAGACTGACTAATGCATCATTACTATCCTTAAAATTTTATTTATTTATTTCTATTAATTTTAATTGTTAATTTCGCCAACTAATTATTTTAAACATCAATCTAATTCTCATAGGCACTAAGGTTTATTTTAATTAGTCTTCTACAAAGAGAAAAAAATGGCAGATGCATTAAAGAAATTGACAGATGCATGGTGTTTATCGGGCGACCACCGTACGATCGTCACTTATATAAAAGAGCTTATTTATTACAAATCGAAAATTATTAACTTTGGTTCGATAGATTATAAGACTTTTTTATAAATTCAATTCATCTTTTATTCGGCCAACATAGAAACTGACCACGTAATTATGCGACTATTGTAAAGAATAATAAGTAACAGTTTGACAATAATAATAATATATATAAATATAAATAATAATAAATATTAGTATTTAAATATGACTGCAAATATTGTAGCATTTATTCCACATGCAAAAATTTACCAAAAATCCAGAAAAAGTGCAATTAATTATTATCATTCACAATCAAAATGTTATAGGAACTTATTATTTAGGAATAAAAAATATTTACTTTAAGCAAATTAAAAAGTAAATACAATAAACAAATAAATACAATAAATAAGTTAAAGAATAAAAAATGTCGAGCGATTATAAACCATCGATTTTTTGTCGATTTTCATCATTTCTACTATGGCTGAATGGCTGAAAAAAATTAAAAAAAAAGGATATGAAGAAAGAAGACTGTCAATGTGAGTAACACATTTCATAAAATCTCAGAAAATAGAAGGAATTCTAAAAAAGTTGGATTGAATTCACTTTAATTGATTATCAATTATATTTAAATGTTAAATTTTATAATTATTTGCCAATTTTCATTCATTTCAATATTTTTTTATTGAAAATCATAATAAAAGCTGTAAAAAAAGGATTAAAAAATAAAGAATTTTAAAATTAATCATTTTTTCCATATTTTTCGAATTTCGATTTTTTCAATCCAATTTTAATTAATTCAACTAAGTCAATTTTTTTAAAATGTTGAGAAAAATATATTTTTTAAATTTTTTATTAATTTATTCCAAAGCAAAATTTAATTTATTTCAACAAAAAAATATTAGATTTAAATATTTCAAAAAAAACATTTAATTTTTAATAAAGAAAACATACAAAATTTTAAATCTAAAAAATTCAAAATTGAACTAAAAAAAATGAAAAAGTGATATTTGCTACAGTAAGTATGAAACTATGAAAAACATTTACCGTCCAATTTCAGCTTTTATTTATTGAAAAAACAGTAATATTGGATGTCATTTAATTTATAAATATGCTTTCTATGTGTTTTATTAGTGAAGATATGACGAAAAATGGGGAAATCGATTTTTATCGTACGTGCCACGACCATTTCCAGGATTTATCGATTTATCCAATTTGCTCCAAGCTTATTCGTGACAACTATGAAAGAACAACGATGGCGATCACAGTGAGAGAGAAGATCAATGCTCAAATGTTCGCTTAAATTTTCTGGAAATGGGGATAAAAAAATTTTGAAATTCTAGAAATTGTAAATTACACTTACATAAAAATTTTTATTTCTAAATGTTTCCAAATGTTTCCAAATGTTTGAAAAATTTTCAATTCTTGATTTAAAAAATGGATATCCATTCTGCCATGAAAATTATTGGATCATTTCACAGTTTCGTGGATTATTTCTCAAATTTTTTTATTAAAAATTTGTAATCGAATACAATCGAATTCTTGTTTTAAGAATTCACATGATTTGCTCCACTGGCTATCAGATTGGGTTCCATTCGCTAGAGAATGAAAGAAGGCAGAGGTAAAAATGCGTTTACGATGAGATCATCGCCTGAAATTTATTTTCAGGTATATCATCGTCAAGCTGTGGGCTAGGAACTGCACCAAATTTTCGTTCCAGAACAACGTATCACTTAGCTACTGGAAATAACTGAGTTAACCTTTATTTTGCCATAATTTTTTGCGTAAAATGCATGATAGATAAAATTATTCAAAGTGGAATATTTATCATTGATTTTATTAATGTGAGGGTGATACTCATCCACCTCTTCGCAATTTTTTCAATTTTTTTCACTGAATATTACAATTAGCGAATTGGCTGAATCGATTTTTCTGGGAAATAATTATGAGGAGAAAAAATATCCTCAAAAAGCCTGGCACTAGAGTGAATCGATTTTCCGCTTTCGTCTCCATCTCGAATCCATTTATTAAGGATTCGACGATTAATAAAAATATTGGCTTATTGATTCTGAATACGAGGGAAACGATTAATCAATGCGAACACTTCCAAGTCATCCAAGGTATTAGCACATCGCTTTCGTGACAGAAAAGAGTCTACAAAATGCAATGTTGAAAATTCATTCATCCAATAATGGCCAAGTTCTATGGTTGTTTCGATCTGCGTCGAGCATTAGAAGTTTGACTCCATGATTCCCGACGCGACTAGAAATCCGAATGGTAGTGGCGACTTACTCGATATGCGACCTTCTATCGCCAAATGATTTCCTGACTAGAAATTTCTTTGCCGAAATAGCCGAAAATGGCCATCGTTAAATACTAAGCAATACATCTATTCATTATTTATATAATGATTATTATTTATAAATATTTCTTAAATGATAAAAGCAAATAATATTAGCACCACGCGATTTCATTATAAATTATTGTCTTCAAGCGATTATCCTAAATTTGGTCTGACAAATGAAGCGATTACGATTCGTTCATCTAATAAAACAAAAGTTACTTGGAGAAATAATTCGGCGAATTCAACTGCGCAGAAAAAGAAGAAAATTTTCATTCAAATGAAAAATATGACTTACATTTAAAATGAATTATAAATTTCATAAAGAATTAGTTCGCTAAATGAATTAAATGAAAAAATATTCTTCCTCTCACCGTTTATATTTATTTATTTATCATATCAATAATATCAATAAATTATTCTTTATACAAGGAAAAAGTGTCATTAAATTTCAAATATTGAAACCATTATAAAAATTGCCAATTTTAATTTGCAATTCATTGCAAATTCAAATTATATTATAAATAAAAATTTACGATTTTTTTATTTGATTAAGTATTTTGATATTTTAGCATTTGAAGCAAAGAAAAAAATCGAATTACAAAAATCTATCCAAAAAATAATTAAATTATACGAAATAACTGATAAGAGACCAATAGAAGTGATTTGTACTTCGGTTAATTTTATATAACTTATATAATCAGAACGTAAAGAAAAAATTTAGAAAAAAGTGAAAAAAGAAGGTGGAAAAAAGAAAGTGGTTAGTGGAAAGTGGTACAATTTACTTCTAGTTATACTCGCTATGTTCGTGTGGTGGTAAATTTATCGTCGAAAAGTCATTTGGAGATAAAAATATTGATGGGTCCTCACTAAACATCACTAAACGATAAACCTTAACGCTCCATAATCTGAATCCATTCTGTCTATTCTGACCATTCTGTAATCCTGAAATCTGCGAAAAAGCTTGAAAAGGAACGTCAAAACTATTATTGTTAAGTACTAATGGAGATATAACCTTTTTTTATGCCACAGGATCCCTGATGACTTCCTAAGGGCTTCTCTGTAGATATTTTTTAAACGACAATATTTAGAAGCTCAGTTGTGGCTGGTCGCTATCTGTATATATATATATATATATATATATATTTATTCAAATAGAACTCGTACAGGGCCACAGATCTGGCGAAACAGAGGATAAGATGAACGATAATCGATAAATCTTCAGGAAATCTTCGTCGAAGATCAAAATCAGCTGTATATTCGCCTGTCTATTCATAACAGTAACTCTGAACGATTCCAAACCATTCCTCGAAACTTACAACTTATAAACTTATAAACCACTGCACTGCTCATTTCCTGGATAAAAATTTGACTGAACAGAAATTCCAGATACGCTTTAGCAAAATAATATGAAAAAGTAAGTTTTTTTTTGATAACTGTCCACATCCAAACTAAAAAGGAACCCCTATTTGAACAAATTATAATCCTTTAAGCAGAATGTGGATAGGAGTGCGTTTGTGAGAAACAACCTTTAAATTATTTCAAGCACTATTATTTCCCATAAATTTTTAATTTCAG